GATCGCCAGCGCCAAGTACACGTCGAGTCGAGCCTTGCACACAAACGAAGGCATATTGAATCGCATTATTACTTACGATAAAAAATGGATTCTGTTCGACAATCGTAAGCGCTCAGCAAGTTGGTTAGATCCTGGTTAAGAGTCCCTAAACAATGCCCCAAACGAAAACTGGCCTCAAAAAAGCGATGGTCCCTATTTGGTGTCATACCAAACGCTTTTTACCAAACGGAATGAGCATCACTGCAGATGAGTTCTGTGAAAAACAGAACACAATGATGGAGAAGCTCGCCCATCTCCAACCAGCTTTGGTCTATCATTCTACCCCGCTGCTCCTGTACGACAACGCGCTACCTCATACTGCACAGCATACGGTCTCCAAGTTACAAGAGCTGGAGTTTGAAGTTCTGTAAGTTAAAAAATTAAGCAGTATTGACAAATTAGAACAAGCTTCTTTGTTTTCTTTTCTAAAAATAGCAATGAAATAAATTCTAAAAACACCTTTTCTTCTTTGGTTTGTGCAACAGTTGTACAATGCTAAAATTCAAAATGATCTGAGTTTTATATAATGTTTTTATTTGTAGAAAATACAGTAGGGTGTAGGTATTATTAAGTTCTATTCAATAAAAGTTTCATGCGTAAATTGCGGTTATCGTTTGTATGAATTGTACCCACATAAAAATATTAGAAATGCTAACATACAAAAATAGCCACTGAAATTGTCTAATAAATTTATTGTATTTCCATTTTATTATAATTGTGTTATTGTGAAAAATAATAAATTGCATATTTATCCCATATATTTGGGGTTATTCAGTTTGATACATTAAAATAATATTGATTGTATTAAAATTCTACCTCATTAAGCATTCGTAGGTTTTACATAAACATTTATCCATCAGGTGGTTTTATCCGAATTTCAGCGTTTCTGATTTTAATTTAAAGCCTATAGGTGAGCTTTGTAACGATATTTTTATGCAAATACGCCGCTCACCTGCCTCTGTAATAAATCCATTAATAAATTTATTTAAGTACAAAATCGACTTTTCGGAAATTTATTAAACGCGCAGACGAGTTATGCAGACTGTTCCAACTCTTGAGAAACTTTCCATTGAACTTGCGAACTGTTTGAGTGAATCCAATTTCATGATATCTATTTTATGATCAGTTTAATTTACAGAAGTTTCACCATTGCGAGAATGATTATTGTGTTTTCCGAGAAAATTATCATATGGGCTGGGAGTTTGGAAAATAATTAAATCGAAAGTTTATTGCTGTTCCCTTGTTCCACGAACTGCTGTGCCAAATGAAACTAATTTGTTTCTGTTCTCGGTGCGGGTGCGTCCAACTTTACACTGCAAAAGGTGGGGGGTGCTTGCCGGTGTTCATGCAAACCATTTTGTGAAGACCTCTTTGGTGTATGAAGCCTGTAACGTTGTGAGGTCTGTCTAAATTACACCCTAACCAAATTTTGTTTTCAGTTGCATTTGTAAATCGGGTATCCTCATAAATAGTGTTTTCATTCTCTCTCATGTATTATTCAACACTTTCCTGATGTTCAGTAAATACCTACAGTAGCATATATTATTGTAAGTACCTTATGTTTGTTTAAAAGTAAGATCCTACGATTGTAGTTTAAGATGGAAAATTATGTAACATAGGAAACGCACTTAAAGCTCTGTTAAAAGCTTAGGTCTGAAGTGCTCTGCCCATACACTCGGAAAAGTGACAGGCGATAACAGTTTTCTAGCTGGAGCAGACAGCGAATGTCATACAAGGTAAAGAGCAGCGACAACTACGTATAACTTGAGGCCAAGACAGTGTAAATGCTTCCACGTGGATATAGTTTATAATGTAACTGAAATAAAGATGATGACAATCAACTGTATCCATCGAAACAGTTTACTTGTTCAATATTCCACGTATATTTTGGCTTGTAAAGTCGGTTGACACAGTAATCCTCGTTGTAACAGCGATATTCAGACGGTATTCAGCCGGTAGAGGCGTAGGCGTCGTATAGTGTTCTAGTGGATAGGTATAATCCAAACATGTTTATCAATTCAGATAAAGATCAATAAATAGAATCACTAATTAATACGGCTTAGTATCACGGCTTAATTTACCTTCTTATTTTCATTGACCATCCCCAAAAGATTTTGTTACAAAGCACTAGTAGATGGTTGTGAATGTTGTGCTTTCATAGTCTTTTCACTATTTTCGCGCAAAACAATTAAGCATTATATATAATAATAATAATCATTTATTTCATAGAAACATCCATATAATTATTAGTATACATATATGCTTTTCCAATACTATCCAAGCAATTAAGACGTAAAAGAAAGACGGACGCGCTTTACTTTACGGAGAGTAACTTTTATCATTAAAATGAAATCGGGACTAACTTATTGATGACACTTTTGGATCGTTCAATATATTTCATAGCAATTCGGGACATCTTTTAGCTAATAAGAACTTAAGTGGCAACATTTGCATAAAATTATATCGCTACCAATCAATTATGTGTTCTAACGACAGTGTTCTTTAACATGTTTTTTTTTCTGTTGTGTGGTTTAATTTAGGATCGATCAACAACACTGAGCAGTTATATACTAAATAAAGCTTATATTTTCTCCATAATGAGTTTGAAGTTTCTTGTTTTACAAAAATCGGAATTGCAAGCTTAATTTTATTTTTTTATGTTTAATTCGTGGATAAAGAAATACATGATACATATGTATAATATTTATGAAACTTATGACTATGAATGGTGCAAGAACAAAATGAAAAACTCTAATGCCGGCGCCTTGCTTGGCTATTCGTGTTCGCTATTTGCAAACTATAAATCAGTCTGTCCTTTTCATTTCTTATAAAGCATGATAAGGACAGACTGTTATCAAGTTTACAAATAGCAGATGTGTGCAGTGTGCCTCTATTTCTTATAATATTTCCAATAAAGCTAACGAGAGGAGGATTGTGTTTAGTAATAATTTTAACTGAAAGTGATCTATTCAATCCGAGCGATACAGGGGGTCTACTCTCTTTCTCCGAAACAACTTTCGATAACGAAGTTCTAACGAAATTTAATTTCGTCACTTTAAGGTTAGGTATACTTAATTTATACGATAAACTATCAAATTGAAGCTTTCTTTTAGTAAGTTTAGAAAATCTACACAACTATCTATATTCCGACTACGAATGTTATTATAATTAAAAATGAACCGAAAACATAGTAAGAAAAGTGCGAAGTTTAGATCGAAATTTCGTTTTCGTGTTGAATTAGAGTAGGCCTCCAGTTTCGAATGCTCGGTGGTAATACACTATCATTAATGCTGTGTAGGTACTCGCAGTTTCCGTTGCGCCTCCGTGTTTCGGTAACCACATATCCCGCCAGCTACAATTACTCGCGTATTCATTAAAATTGTTCTCATTTTAATACGCGTTCATTAAAAAAATATATTCATTTATTATTCCTTTCAGTAATTTGACAGTTATGAATTTAATTTGATTGCATTGAAGCCGACCATCATTTCTTTTGTGTATCTGTGTTGTTGATCTACTGAGTATGTATTCAATTCCATTATGTTTCATTCGAAAGTACTTGCCTAAGCTGTTTTAGAAGTTAATATTTTAAGTTGATAGACCATGATCAAAAGCATGCTCGACGGAATAGGGTTGCCACTTATCACTTATTGAAAATAATACTTACTGTATTTATTTAATAGATGCATTTAAATGTTCTTGGCAGAATATATTAAATGCGTGATTAATATGAAATGTTCATCACATCGAATTATATCGAAACTGTGACCAACCCACCATATTGCATCATATAGTTTAAAACATATAGTCAAATACATAGTGAGAATGTATAATAGAATACCTTATAGAAACGCCTGAAGAAGTTTTCTCCAGTTTACAGAAAACTGCAGCCAAACTAATTTTGTAGTTGCTTGTGGTTATTAAGAGAATAAAAGCCACAGACGGGCGTCTAAGATTTACGCCGCTTACGTTTATCGACTACAAGCGGCCACCCGCAGCTTTGTCGACGTTAACTTAGTTTTTATTTTGAGAATTCTACAGGAACATAAAATTTTGCCGAGATTAAAAGTGTCCCATGTCTCAATCCAGGACATAAACTATAAACGTAAAAGATTTCATCCGATTCAATCCGTTTAGTAGTTTTTGCGTGATTGAGTAACATATAAACCATTTATAATATTAGTAGGACGTATAATGCTTAGAGCATTCGTATCATGCTTTAAGATGCTATGACTATCTACAACACTGGATTAATAGTAAACCATTTAAAAATAACTATGTTGGTGGCTTTAGGTGGATAACAAATGTCAATCAGTAGTTAAAAGCTAAGGTTAAAAGCATGCATAAACCCATTTTTTTGTGTTAAATTGTTGGTAAACAAGCATATGGCCCGCCTGATGGTAAGCGGCACGATATCTTAGACGCTTGCGATATTAAAAATATAACTCGCGCTGTTGCCTACCCTAACCCAATACCCCATCCCGTGGAGCCCTGGAACCTTTCTCACCGACAGATACACAATACGCCTCTTTGACGACCTCCGTGGCCGAGTTGTTTGTACGCCGGGTTTCATGCTGTCGCCAACTCGAGAGGTCCCGGGTTCGAATCCTGGTGGGGGCAGATGTTTGTGTGATGAATACGAGCATTTGTACTCCAGTCATGGATGTTTAATATGTATTTCTATATAAATATACTTATTTAAGTACATTATATGTATTCTATCCGTTACCCTAGCATTCCATAAGACAATCCTTACAGTGCTTACTTTGAGGCTAGGCTAATTGGTGTGAGTGGTAAAAAAACAAACAAATACCACCAAAAGGTATTGTTATTTTACTGTAGTCTTCTGTAAGGTTACTTCCCCAGACGGGCGCTTCAATTCGAGCGGAAATTCCGCTATGCCTTACCTCTCCTCTGTATTCAGTATCGTAGTGAATCTCTAAAATGCAGTATTTTTATCAGGGTTGACGCTGACGCCGTTCGTGCGGCACTGGCAGCCGGCCGTGTACGAGCCGCCCCACCAGCTGCGCCGGCGCCGCTCCGCGCCCGCGCAGCCGCTGCCACCGCCGCCCCCCGCGCCCCCGCACCCGCTGCGACTTACCTTCTGGGCCCACAACAGGTACAGTAATGCCTAGGTTACACAGTGCGAGTTAAATGTCATGTGCGAGTCGGTTAGTAGCTCGCATCCATGCTACTAAAAATTTTTTTGATATTACTCGCCACTCGCCTTTCCCCACCACGCACAAACAGCAACTAGCACGCGACTCGGACGTCGGCTCGCACATTTCTGCATACAGACACTTGCTCGTACGTACGAACGTACATTGCACGAGATTTGACACATGAGAAGTCGGTGGAAGGCGAGTACATGGTTGCAGTAGCTGTTTACTTACATAAGCAGCTTATGTGACCTGGTGAGACGAGTCGAGCTACTGCCATGCAAGTACAGAGGTACATTAGCTGTCTACTGTCACATCAACAGCTTGCACTGTGTAAATCTTGCCTTTAATAAGACCCGTTTTCTGCCCTGATAACGAGCATTTCCGACGTTGCCGAATGCCGAGACTTGACCGCTCGAATAACGAACGACCAGCAAAAGCTGCGCGCAGGACGAGGTGCGCCCCGTGCTAAGCGTCTTAACCGACTTTCCGAGTTTAAAGGTTTAACTAAGTACGTGGATGAAATACTAGCTACCCGCTTCGGCCTGGTGTAATCTGATGACATTTTTAAAAAATAAAAACAATCAGCCAAATCTGCCCAAACATTGTAACCATCACGTATTTACTGACACTATTAGGATGTTATTTGCACGACAAACGCTATTCGATAAACATAGAAATTATGTCATTCAAATGAAAAATAACCTTTATTTCTGTTATATGCATAGTGGCAACCATAGTCAGATCCCTCAACTGCTTACCTGACCGACGACGGCGGACATTGAATTTCTCCGTACCTCTGGAGAATAGGGTACCATCTATATGAACTGACCCTAAATCCTACACAGTGCCAACACAGCAAAACTAACGTAACACAATTACTAACGCGGCTTCCGTCATTTCCCCGTATCGGGATTACACGCTAAGAAATCTTAATAGCCTCAAGTCGAAACAAAGTATTTGTAGCGAATGAAATTATATTTTAACTGGCGTGAAATAACGATCTAAATTGAACTGTAATTCCTGTTAAACCTGACCCGTCGGAGATCAGTTAATGCACGCTATTTATTCCGTTAGCACGTAGTACCTATATATATTAATGAAGCTTTGCCGGTTTTAACTGCCAATTCGATTGGACCGGCGAATCGGAAATACATTACTATTAAAAATCGAACTAAACTAATATTTTCAAGTACTTATTCCAATAAGTTGTGATAATAGTATAACTGCCTAGTTAATGTCTCCTTACCCCACATTCATTTTGCCAAAATACCTTTACAAATTCAACCAAAGTTTATCCCTTATACATAAAGATAAATCTTCTATTTTAAATTAATAGTAATAATTACATTTCTCATGGGATTGTGTCAAATTACCATTAATATCGATAATGTAATTTAATTGATCTTTAAAACTTTACTGAAACCTCTCGAAGCTAGGGCTGTTATAGTAATAATAGGAGTCTGAGATCCAATTAAATGAACATTAATGACACACGTACACATTCGTACGACGCCTGGGGGCCTATTCTGAAAGATAGATGTATTAATAATTCCAAAATGCTCTTATAAAGCTCCATTATATGAGCATTTCGTAGACAGAGTCATATAACATAGATTTTGTTTGTAAGATCATTTGGAAATTATCAGAATATTCAGTTCGAAACATTTTGTGTAATGCCCGAGATAATGATTTGATTTCTATTTATCTGCAGTCTCGCACTTGATCCCGATTCCTTAGTATGTAATCTCGGTACGTACGTAGAATTACTGTACTTTTTGAGAGCAATGAAATTTCATTATGTTTAACGATCGATTTAAATGATTCAAAGTGATAAATAATTTATACCAATAGAATGTTGAACAGACGAAAGTATCACAAAAAAAAGACAAAGGGCATAACGACCTGTCACTACTTGTGATAGATTGATTTAAGCACCGATTCTCAGTTAAACGCCCTTTTTGCTTGATATCGCTGATTGCAATATAATAGATATTGCAGAATGATTGATAAATGGGCCCAGGAGAAAACATATCGATACATATATAATATGAAAGTATTATCAAATTGCTTTGTTACTAATTTCATTATAATGCTGAATGGAAAACATTAAACATATATTTTTTAAAGTTTTTTATTGATTTGAAATGACTGGTGAAGTTGAGAAATGAAAATTATTTTAGTCATATTTTATATTCATATCATTTCAGTGCCTCAATTAATTGGTAGGTTGGCTGGATAAATAAATTGTAAGGAGAGTTTGGTAAACTCAATGTTTCATTGGGAAACGTCCCGTCTGGAAATTGGTTAATCTATTTGGCTGAGGTTATTGGTCGGGAGTAATCGGCATTGCTATAAGTGGGACAAATAAGAAGTTAGAGTTAGTTGAATATTTTTGGCAGCATACTTGAAAATCAGCATACATATATACCACTGTGCTAAGAGGTCGCTTCATTTAATGATCAGATTGGTACAAGATATTTCAATACTCCTGCTTCAATTGAGCTACCCCTGTGCCACCAATATACAAAGATTCTATCAACAGCAGAGCTATAATTTGTCAAGTTCCTAATCTATTAGTTTGGACGTAAGCGTAAGATAAGGGTGTAAGTACCTCCCAAAGTTTATTATTCACCCCAACTTTCTGTGTTTCGCCGTCAAGTTGGGTGTGCAACTGCAGGAATAAGTTAATCGAACGTGTCCCAGACTAATCAATTTGTGGAAGACCAATCGGCTTGCGGACTCCATTTCCTTAATTAAAACACGGATCGCTTCAATCTACTACATTTGTAGTTTTAACAACGTAAAGTGTATTACTTACTTCAATATACTTAGGTGCACACGGCAGTGGGACAAAAATATGCTACTCTTTTTTACTTGGGAGGTTTAGGGAACATTTAAAGTAAGCAGAATTAAGATAGAAGCATCAGTAGCAAATACCTGTACTTCTCCGGGACTTCTTATTACAAAACGTGGACTATAGTTTTTGATTTAAATGTAATGCTAATGTATCCAGCCCCCCTCTTTTTTTTTGTCGATGAGAAATCCATTTACGGACCGTACCGCGCGCTGGCTGGGCGCGCGACGTGTGTGGGATTCCCCGGCGCGGCACAACGCCGGTCCTACCCACTAAAACCCACCGGTACCCTCCTACGCTCATGTGGGAGCGTTTCAGGATCGGCGCACCTCTGTGTGCGCCACTTCACTAGAACGCCCCCGGTCCAGCCCCTCCCCCCCTAGCATGAGCACCGCGATATGATTTATAGCTCGTTTTTATCACGCTCAATTGTCAAATTACTATAGAGTTTGACAGTTAGGCGCGATAGAAATCGTGATATAATGTCAATTGTGGTGCTCATGCTACGGGGACTGGTTCTATCAGTTTTCTCTTTAGCAAACAAAGAGACTACATCATTTTTAGACCGGACTTTTTTGTAACAAGAAGTTGTTGATTTTAATCAATGCCCAATGTTGCATCAAACTGTGAAAAAAAGAACTAAAATATCTCACTATCCAAGTGTCAACTCTGCAAAGCATATTGGAACGGTGTTACATTTTGCTATTCCTATTTTTCTTTTAAATGGAAGACAATTCAAGAAAATGCTAATTTTTCTTGAATTTCCAAATAAAAATACAGTTGAAAATAGTAAAATTTAAGGGCCTCTTGCACCGACATTTAAAAGTTTAAATTTTAATCTAGTTTAGCACCTCACTTCATCCTCATAAACACGATTTTGTTTTCATTGCATGCAACCACTTGGTGGAATTAAGAAGATACTTACTCTTGAGATTTTATTAGAAACGGTGACTTTCAATACGGGTCCCGTAGTCATGCATCTCCGATTAGTGCGGGGTAGATCGGGGAGTTGTTTTTCTTGGTAGGTATGGGAGACCACGAACGACTACCCGCCATGGACCACAAAATAAATTAAATTACATTGAATATGAATAATAACGGTAAATATTGATTTAAATACCATACCATTGTGAGTCATGGTACCATTTTGTGACTAAAAAGTCCGGACTTTTTTAGAAATGTCAGGATTTTTGTTAGGACTTTTGAAATTCCTAAATGGTAACCCTAGCTGCAGGTCACTTGTGCTTGCACTTTTGCGACTGCTGGCGATCTGCTCAGCGATGTTCAAGTTCTACGTAGCAGTGTAGCACACTTCCACTTTCCGAAAGCAGCATGTCGGATCATGTATCTACAGGAGCATGATGTGCCATGCATAATGCATTATTTCTCGCCGGAATAAAAAAAACATATTGTTAGATAGGTTACATAAAGATATTATTATATCTACAAGCAAGAACCTATTTGTAAGTCTCTCTATGTGCACGAGCTACTGTAATATGATTGCCGGGCGGATATTGCGGACAATCGACAATTGGGCCGTCCGATCGCCGCTCATCAAACTTGGAGGAAGGCGGCCATTGAGCGATCCTTGTTAGCAGTCCGCGATGCTAAATTGCTTTGTCGGCCCCGTTATGTGTGACTTCGCCACATTAGCTTTGATAGATGTTAGCTGGCGAATGTACACACAATCGACTCTCCTGCTACACAAATAAACGGATTGAGTCGGCGATTCACCGCTATCGGAGCGGAATGCTAACGGAGCCAACCGTTCGAAATTGAACGAACTTTTGTCCGAGCAATTTTGAACTCGGAAACAAACGTTGTCGCCGTGGTGTAACAAAATGTAACATCTCGCGTTTCTATGTAGTTTTAATGAAATTGCTATTGGTATTTGAAAAGACTGTTGTAATAATATTGTTATATATACTCTTTACTAATATTGTAAAGAGGATAGATTTGATCGTTTGTTTGTATTGAATAGGCTCCGAAACAACATTAACCAAATGTTAGTTTGACTTTAAATGTACTTTAGATATAAGTAAAGAATTGTGAGGAGCTCGATGGCGCAAGTGATTAGCGCGTTCGGCTGCAATCGTTGAAGTT